TCAACAGATCACCTCATCAAAATCTGATTTCTGTTTGGCAGCTTTATTTAATTCATTATGGTAAAGAATTGGAGGTGACATGTTTTACATATATGTGTAATAGAAAGTTTAGATATTTCCATGCTAATTAAATGCAGCTGGATAATGCTGGAAACAAGGCATTCACATATAAGTTCCAATTAAAAATTTATTCAGAAGCGAGAGCTTTTGTGTATAATTAGACAAATTTACATTGGTTACTGAAATTTGGTAGTAGGTTGTTAATAAATAGCTTGACATTTAGAGATAAATTTTGGATAAGGTGCTAGAGAAAACTCTTTTTGTACATTGGAGAGCCATCGAATTAGGGATAACTGATTAGCAAGTTGAGTTGCTTCTCATTTAACCTTGATAAAGGCTGCTGCACAATGAAGCATGAAATCAGCAAATTTATGCAAGTGTTTCCAAGATATGACCTGCCTAAAATTTCTAATATACTAGTTAAGGATGTCGATGGTGGATGGCAAGTTTGCTCAACTTTCTCTATTTTATCCCAAAGGTGTTTGATGGGATTTTACAGCACGGAGAATTCAGAGAATTGTTCTTTGAACAAAGTAGTTTGAACTAGAGTTCGTGACAGGAACAGCTATTCTTCTGATACACCCTATTTCCATCCAGATGGCAAAAAAGCATGAACAAAATGTAAGTGATCATCTCTCATATATATGTACTTAGATGGAATGAGGAGGCTTTATATATGTACTGAAGCTCCTAAAAATTGCTAAGAGAAAATAGCCTGGTGCATCACTGAACTGCCACGACATTGTGCAGTTCCAGTCTGGCATGATGGGTCCATGGCTCATAAGGTGGACACCATATTTTTAGCCAATCATTAGCTTTATATATTGGGTATTGATGCTCATTACTCCATGCTGCTCACTTCCATTCATCGGTGGTCTACTGGCTGTGATCTATACAAGACTTTTTGTGGCATACGGTGAGAGGTGGTATTTTCATGAATATTTGGCTTTTAAAGTCCATGTGGTGAAGTGAGCACTGTGTATGCCATCCGCTGTTTGTCAGACAATTCTAATTCTGCTTCTAATTCAATTGAATGCTCATGTGCATTAAGAATTTAGTATCACTGGCTGTGTGTGATATTGCTCATTCTTCAACTATCACAATCATTCAAGGCTGCTTGTTCTTTGCAGTTTGTCTGATTACACATTTCTGTTTTCTTTTTGTCAGTGTACATTTTCCATATTTTTGATACTCTGGGATAATAAATCTCTATTTCTGAAACAGAATGATCCATGCAATTGAACACCTATTACTTGTGCTTGTTAGAAGGTGTCTGAATCACAAATTTCTACCCATAATGTTACTGTTCATAGTTGCTGAGAGGGGGCTACACTTCCAAATTTTTGTAGCAGCGTACTGACATGCAGATAAATGAGGCAGCAGCACCACCATGATATTTGCTTAATGCTGTCAACTACCAATTCAATGGCTTTCTAGTATATTATGTGTGATGATTTGTAGGTTAACATAATTTTACTTGACCTGTCCTAGTCAGGATAGCCATTGGGAGGAATAGCAAACCTTGCTAGTGTGGTATTCATTTGATTACTGACTTTTACCATTGTTAAAATTTTCATGTTTCTCTTAACTGTTTGCTAAACATGTTATTTATATTTATCATAGTTCCATTACTTGGCATTAGTCCATGAGTTACTGTGACTGGCTATAAACTGTTGATTAGAAAAATTCTTGTATAATGTTATTGTTTTCTGTCCCTTGATTTCAGACTTTTCCCATTAAATATATGCTATCAATTTTTCAACATCTCTTTTGTTTATTTCAATAAAAGTATGTAGTTTTCTATTATCTATATGTGGTCACAAATTTCTGGCATACAGAATTATTTTATGCAATCCACAAATGCATTTTAATTATGTATTTGTGGCAAATGCTTTGCTTACAATGTTAGAGATGGGGTTTCAGCTCATGTGTGTGACTAAATGTGATGCGTGAGAATGAACAGGTTGAGACTTGTACTCCAGGCCATAACTAGAATAAGGTGGGAGAATTTTCCTATTACGTACAATTAGTAAATTTAGTTTGTTGACCGACAGCTAGTATTCTGTCGACAGCTAGCCTTCAATATTCTGGTTTTCCGATTTTCTGTCATAGGTTAAAAATAAGTTATTTAGCTTTAATCAACCAATTGGAATTACCTGAAATTAATGTATGTAAAAAATTTGCTATTTATCTGTAAGTATGCATGAAATACAAAGTTGTAACCAGCAAAAATTTCTTGAGATTTAGACTTCAGAAAGAAAATAGAATCTTTAGACTTCAGGTAGAAAATGCAGTCAAATTCTGAAATTTCTCCAACCTGAAATCCACACAACCTCTCAAAATGTAATGCATTTCTTACCTGCATTCAATGTATTGGTTCAGGAAACTGCAACATGGAGATTGAACTTACCAAATAATGACATCATGCTAAAATTCTCCCTCCCCCCATTTGCATTGAGGTAAAAAAGCAGACTGCTTCACTCACCTCCTCTTTTTAGTTTATGACTCACATGGATGTATTTTCTGAGCTTTGTTATTTCATGAGATTGTTTATCCTGATGTTTTGTAGTTTTATTTGGATTTCAAATAGATAAAATATTTTTAATTTCAGTGCTTGTTAATACAATAGCAGATAAGAAATGCATTCATGATTTTACTGCTTACATTTCTGAAACACATAAACGTGTTGCATTGATGGTAATTCAAAAAGGGGAAATTTGTAAAAGATGGAGGGAGGTGCTACTTCCCGGTTCATAGCAGAATCGCATGGAATTGCAACATAGACCATATATGCTATTCTGAAAAATAAAGAAAAGCTTTAGAATTTTTACAGCAGTAGTGATTCTGACACTGGAATTCAAAACTAAAAATCTTTGTAAATGGTGAAATCGGCAAACCTGTATGCTGTCTTGTATGAGTGGTTCCGGGTGTGGCAGTGTGATAGGATATCAATATCAGGAGTGCTTGTAAGAGAAAAAGGAAAACAGTTTCACACTTATTTAAAAATAGAGGAGACGTAGGACTTCAGCAGTGGTTAGCTGAACAGATTAAGCAGAAACATTGTATATGTTAGCTGAAAGCCCATGGGGAAAATCTTTCAGCAGATGAAGATGATGCAGAAGAATTTATTGATAAGTTTTCTGTAATTAGTGGCAGAAGAAAATCCTGTGCTAGGGGCAGATGTGCAGGGCCGATGCCGCAGTGGCTAGTGTATCACGAAGAAGCACCACAGGTCCGGGGTTTGATACCCGGGCTGGGCAAGGTCGACTCAGCCTTTCATCCCTTGAGTTTCATCCTTTGTGTCGATAAAATGAGTAGCAAGTTCGCTTGGGGACTAAACACTGGAGGACCTACGACAAGCTGACCACTTGTTCAGGGCATATGCTTACGCATCCCCGAGCCCACGGTCAAGAAAGCAGATCTCGGAGCACTGCAAGCATTGGCCCGTTAGGGCTTTTATGCCACTGAGTTTTTTTTTTTTTTTTATTGGCAGATGTACAGATTTCTAATGTGAATGAGACCTTTTTGTTGATGTCTGCCCCAAAAAGCATTTGTAACAAACGGTGAAAGTGTACGATCAGGGGTGAAAGAAGCTAAAGGAAGAGTTAATATTTTAGTATGCAGCAATGTAGGTGGAACTTATAAATATAAACCAGTAGTAATGGGTAGGAGCACCGTTATTCCTGGTTCATGTAACAACTTATGGCTGAATGGGGAACGTTTCATTAAAGAGGCTAGAAGACCATCAAATTGCAAGATTTTGTTATTGCTGGACAACTGCTCTGCACATCCAGATGCAATCATTTTAAGGTATGCTAATGTCATGATGTTATTTTTTTGCCCCCAAATACTACCTCATTCATCCAAACAATGGACCAGGGCATAATATACAATATTAAATGGACTGCAAATCAGAGTTTCTGAAAAAAGTTCTTCCAAAAGACCATTCTGTTTTCTGCGATTATAAAACAAAAATATTTCACCATCAAAGACTGCATCTGTGTGTTAGAAGAATCATGGAATTTTGTTTCTTAAACAACATTAGTAAATGTCTGTTATGATGTATGGTCATCTTTTCTGTTTACTGAAACTAAGAATGATGACAGTGAATTTTCTGGTTTTAAGGTCGGTGTAGCAAAGGTTAAAGCCAGGAAATTGCTTCTGTATTTAAAAAAAGGAACAAATGAGGAGGCTTTGAAGATCTCTGAATGGATGATGTGTCCAGATGAGTCAACAATGGCATATCAGATGACTGATAATGAAATTATTGGCTCTGGAGGCTTTGAAGAAGATATTGTTGAATGGATGATGTGGTCAGATGAGGCAACAAGGGTATATCAGATGCCTGATAATGAAATTTTTGGCTCTGAACTCAGCACAGCAAGAAAATGATTCCGACACCAACACAGATAGTGAATTTGATAGGAGTGGGACAATATTTTGTAATGAAGGATTGTTTGAAACATTGTGAAAAATAACAAAAAAATTTAGAACAACAGAGCTGTGTCACTAAGTAAAAGATGACTTTACGCAATTTACAAAAAAAAAAAAAAAAAAAAAAAAAAAAAAAAAAAAAAAAAACTGAAAGCTTTTGAATTTTATATTACACTCAAAGGGGACATTTTTTTTTAATGTTTTGTGTGTTACCGTTATTCATTAAATATCTTGTTTTTCACACTTAAACCATAAATGGGCTAAAAAAACTTCCTCTGGAGAACACCCGAAGTTTTAAAACAAGGCTCTATCAGAAAAATGTTTGAAACATGTTGAAAAAAATGAAACATTTTATGCTTTATTAATGCTTTATTAATGCTCCTTATTTTCATATGTCCTTTATTGTGCATGTCTTTTACGGTCCTTATTTATTTTGCACTTCTGAATTTTGTGCACTAGTCTGAATATTTTGATTTATCTTAAATTGGTTTAATTTCTTGTTACAGAATGAAACTGAGGTGGTGTCACATATTTCCATCAAGCAAGTTCTTAATTTTTAGCTAGTACAAAATTAAAATAGGAAAGTAAGTTTCAAGTTGAATATAATTTTAATTTAGTAATTTATCATGGAATGTAGTTTTCTGTTGAAATTCAATTTTGTGAAAGATAATTTATCTTGTAATAATCAGTATTTGATTAAATTTATCTTTTATTGATTTCTGATGTACACTGTTTAAAAAAAAAAGATGCAACAGTTCTTTATCTCCCGCTCTTCTGGGCCGATTGACGAAATTCCACTTGCATTTTTCATGTCTCAAAAGGGCGACTTAGGATATGTATTAGATTTATATAGCATTGTTCTAATATCGGTATTTTGACATAAAATCGGACTTTTTCTGAAATAACATACCAATTTTTTTCCATATTTCAATTCTCTACCACTCAAATTATGCCAAACTACCAAGTTTTGTAAAAACCACACGAGTAGTTTTTAAAATATTAGCTCTCAAAATCAATGTTAATTGAATTTGGTATACGTTTATTACTCTCTCTTTTTATACTCAACTTATTTTATTCTTCCTTTCACATTTCGAAATTCGGGTTCATTCCAAATAAAATTCACCGATTTTTTTTGTGACTTATTTTTAAAATTTGTATTTTTAAATAATTTTTATAAATGTTTTTTAAAGTAATTTTGAATTATTGATATAATCTATAAAAATTTTACCATAAAGTAGACATTAAGCATACCTGCAAAAATTAACAGTGTTTATTTGAAATTTCCAAAGATAAGTGAATTTATATATTCTCAGGTTTGAAATTTGGCATAACTGTTGAAAGCGTAAAACATCAAAATGGGATTAGAACTTTGCTAAAATTTTGAAGTTAGAACGATGTGCTTTTTTTTGCTCATGCACAATGTAAAAGATAGGAAAGATGTTTTTTTTTCTCCTCTCTGTATAATGGAAGGGAAAGGAAAATTGGTTACTATATATTAAGAAGTTCGCCAAGTGAATTATTCTTGGCACAAACTAAAAAAATTGTGCAAAGTTAAATTTAAATTTCTCACTAAATTGTACAAAATTTAATATCTAGGCATAATTTGAGTCGTAGAATCAAAATATGGCAAAAAATTGTTATGTTATTTCAGAAAAAGTCCCTGTGGTGACACACTGCTTTCTGTGGCAACCCTAAAGAATTCGTCTGTCACGAGGCTCACGTGCCGAGAGCATGTTACGTCTGGCTTTTCGTGTTATATAGTTAGTTTGCATTTAAGATTTTGATCATGGCGTGAAAAATAAATGTCGGTTTTTAAAAAGTGTTGGCTCAGATTTTTGAACTGCTCAGATTTACTTAACTTTACGAAATACGGATGACTCTTTATTGGAACTTCTACAGAAAAAAGGCTGTATTCAAGAAGAATACGAAAGAGAATTTAGTGCAGCTCAAGAATATTATGATAAATTATCTATGTTAAAAGTAAAAGCCAACAGGGAAAAGGATAAGTGTTCACAACCTTCTACTGGTTCAATGAATAGCAGTTCTTCATCAGGAATAGTTACGGCTGCAAAACAGAAACTGTTGGAGATCAAACTCGTGAAGTTTGATGGAGACCCCGAAAGTGGTTGTGTTTGGACGAGGTTTAGTAAATACATGAAGATACTCACATCGACAAGAGAGACAAGTTTGTTGTTTACTGCAATCTACGAACGTGAGACATTGGCCAAGAGCATAGTGGAAAGTTTCCGCCTACGGAAAAAATTATGAAAAAGCGTGGAGTATCTCAAGAACGATTTGGAAATTAAAAATGTTAATTCAAGTTTATAGAGAGCTATAAAACTGGCATCAATGACAAACAAAAGATATAGACTTATTAACTCTTTATGACAAGTGCAAACTCAGCTGCGCACATGGAATCACTCTGTTTAACTAAAGATAAATTTGCAGGTTGTTTTATTACTTTAGGAATCAGCACTTTGCTGATTAATACAATTTGGGAAAGACAACGAGGTTGCACCTGAAAAAACAGTAAAAGTGAATGGTGTCATTAATTGATTTTCTAAAAGGGAAAGTAGAAACTGATTTTAGAGTTAAACTTACCCGTGATGTTTTGGGTTCTGATGGTATGGTGTATTTAATTATGGCAAAGCACACTAGGGCTATCTGCCTAAGAGAAGGGATGCTTTCGCAGAGGACTTTATAAAGGAAACTGTCTGGTATACACGTTACAGATGGGGAAAATCACGAAAACACCCATGCAGCCAGCCCGTTTGCGGGATTCGAACCTCGGACCGAACTACCAGTGTTCAGCGACTTAACCGCTCAGTCATTGGTGGGCCTTTGGGTTCTGATAAAGTAAGTAATAAGAAAAATAATTTTTTTACACAAAACCTGTTGTTCCAACTGTATGTGAATTAGTTAATGCAAATAGTAGTAATTGTAATGAAAATTTTCAAAAGTATAAAAAGTCTGATACTTGTATTTTTTGTGAAAAATCCCATTTGTCTCAAAGTTGTAAGGATGCATCTTTAATGAATTTATAATGCAAGAAAGATAACATTAAGAAAAAGAATGTTTCGTGTGTCTTAAGAAAAGCCATAGAGCAAATCAGTGTAAAGCTAAACATAGACCTTATGTAAAAACCGACATTTTGTGATTACGTGTCCTGATTTGCATTCTAACAAAACAAAAGATGTCACATAGAGAAAGACGAAAACAAAACAGGCATTCTTAAAAACTATGTTAAGGTATCAGATGTATATCATCAAACTTTAATTGTAAAATTTCAGAATTGTTCTAAAGAAATGTTTGTACGAGCAATTTATGTTAGTGGTTCTATAAAATCATATTTATATAATGATGTTGCTCAGAAGTTAAATTGTAAGTATATTGGTGAATCAAAAATTAAGCAATTTCGATTTGGCGGAGTTGAGACTTCAGAATATGTTATTGAAGTAAGCAATATATATAGTAAATATAAGTGTAAATTAGAGGTACTTGGTCAAAACAAAATTTGTTCTGAAAATAAACAACTTCCATCTGGTTCGTGGTTACGCGAACTTAAGTCACATGGTATCAAATTAAGTGCGGATTTTGCTGGTAAGTTGCTAACTGGAAAAATTGTTCCCCTTACGTGCAGCATCAGCGCGGTGCATCCCCAGTTAGTCTGGACTGTTAAGGGTAAATTTACTGGCACTGAGCCAACTATGATAAATCCTGCATCCCTCCTAATTTCTTCTCTGTTAGTGAAGGGTCAATGTATTAGTGATCTCTGGAAGTTAGATGTTTTGGGTATTAGTGAACCTTCCGTAAGTAAAACTAAAACTCAGTTACAGGAGGATACGCAAAAATATTTTGAAGAGACTCTTACGGTAAATTCAGAGGGAAGGTATGAAGTAGCATTTACCTTGGGTGTTGGATAGCTCGCTTTTACCCGAAAACAAAGTGATAGCAGAAAAATGTCTTGTAAGTACTAAAAGAAAATTAATGACTAAGGGAAATTTTGACACTTACGGAGACCTTTTCCAGAACTGATTAGCACTCAGAATAATTGAAAAAGTACCGGATAAGAATAAATATAAGGGTGTACGTTATTTACCTCATAGAGCATTTGTTAAAGAAAATAGTAGCATGAGTATAAGACCGATGTTTAACGCAAGTTCTCATCCGCTGGGTTACCCATCATTGAATGATTGTTTATCTACTGGACCAAATTTAAATGAAATCATACCTTTGATTCTTAATCATTTTCACAAGAATTACGTTGGTGTCACTTCAGATATAGAAAAAGCGTTCTTGCAAATATCCATAACGGAAAAAGATCGAGACTTTTTTAGATTTATGTGGTTCAGTAGGTATAATCAAGAACAAGTTGAACTGTATCGGGCATAGAAGGGTAGTTTTTGGTATTACGTGTAGTCCGTATTTATTGGTTGCCACTACAGTACTACATCATTTGAGAGTGCAGTTCCCGAAAAGCTTAAGTCATACAGCAGAGATTTTGAAAACATCCTTTTATGTAGACAACTGTGTGGCTAGTATGAATTCAGAAATAGAAATGAGAAAGTTTGTAAATGAATTACAAATAATTATGGCTTCGGTCATTTTAATTTAAGATTCTGGAAATCCAATATAAGAAGTGTTGTGCCAGAGGAAGATTCCTCCGCGGAAGGAGATGTGTCTGTTTTGGAGCCTTGTATGGCATACAGAGTTACAGATACCTTATCTTGCAAAATAAGTCAAGATACAAAATTGGATGACCCAGTTACTAAAAGACTAGTTTTAGCAGGTAGCTCATCAGGCGTTTGATGTTATAGGGCATACGGCTCCTGTAATGTTGATTCCAAAACTAATTTTACAGGAAACTTGAAATTTAAGGCTTAAATGGGACGATGTTCTTCCTGATGAATTAAGCAAAAAATTTAGGTTTTGGCTTAAAAAGTTGTATTTGCTATCCAGTATCCAAATACCTAGATGGGTAGGTCTCAAATCTATTAATGAAGCTGTGAGTATACATCTCTTTTGTGACAGTAGTAAAAGTGCATATGGTGCATGCGTATTTTAAGAGTACAGAGTGACAAAAGGGTAAGGGTTAGTTTGGTACACGCAAGATCGAGAGTAACGCCTTTGAAACCTATTACGATTCCTTGATTAGAACTTCTTGCTTGTAATATTGGTTCTAGGTTATTGTCTTCAGTTATTAATAATATTGGCCTACATGAAGTTCGTATTCACTGTTAGATTGACTCCTTCGACGGCTTTTAAGTTGGAATATGGCGAAATCAATGTTGGGGAGCATTCGTTTTTAATCATGTACAGGAAATCAGGTCTTTGACCTCTCCCACTGTATGGCGACATGTCCCTGGTAGTCTCAATCCTGCTGACCTACTTTCTAGAGGTTGTTATGCAGATCAATTAATAGAACGAAAATGGTGGGAGGGACCTGATTGGTTACGGGAAGATGAGGCAAATTGGCCTAAATTCTAATGATGAACCAGATGAGGATTTATTTAATTCAGAAATACGTAAGACAGTTATTGTTACGTTGGTAAAGAATGATAATTGTATTGGATGGTTACTATAAGTATTTCTCATCATTTAAGAAAATTGTAAGAATGTTATCATGGATATTCAGGATTTTAATAATAATGTACGTAAGAATAATAATAACAACCATTTTAAGGATTTGACTGTGTCTGAAATAGAAAGGGGAGAAATAGCTTTAATGTTATTAATACAAAAAGAGTCGTTTAATGGTGAAACAGATGATAAGCTAAGACGACTCGGACCATTTGTCAATAGTCAGGGTCTAATAAGAGCTAAGTCTAATGTTGCTTATCGTGACGACTCTAACAGCTTTAAGTTCCCCATCATATTACCTTTTGAACATCCAGTAGTCAAATTATTGATATTAAGTTCCCACAAAGACTTTTTGCATGCAGGTACTACATTGTTGATGTCGCATTTAAGAGAAAGATACTGGATCTTAAAATCATGTAAAACTATAAGGAACTGTATAAGAAAATGCGTAACCTGTCAGAGATTTAAGGCTAAAAGAGGTGAGACAGTCCCTGGCGTTTTACCAAATGATAGGGTTCGTGATTCAGCCATTTTTGAAATTGTAGGATGTGATCTTGCCGGACCCTTGCATTTAAAGGATGGACGAAAATCATATATATTGTGCTCTTCACGTGTGCAATTTATTGTGCTATCCATATGGAACTAGTTACCTCATTAAGAACTGAATCATTTTTTCAAGCTTTAAGGCGTTTTATCGCATGTCGTGGACGCCCTACCACCATATATTCCGATAATGGGACAAATTTTGTGGGTGCAGAGAGAGTTTTGCAAACCATTGACTGGGACTGCCTCTGCTCTAGGGCTGCTGAAAAGAGAATACAATGGAAATTTAATCCTCCATCCGCCGCTTGGTGGGGTGGATGGTGGGAGTGTTTGATACAAATTGTGAAACAAATATTGAGAAAAATTTTAGGTCATGCTTATCTTGGTTATGAAGAGTTACTCACCTTCTTGTGTGATTGTGAAAGAATTGTCAACTCAAGACCACTTACGTACGTGTCTGACGATATTGAAGATCTCTTGCCTTTAACTCCAGAAAAATTGTTGCATGAAACTCCACAGTTGGGTGTGCCTGATATTGACAATATAGACAGAGAAATATTAAGTAGAAGAGCGAAGTATCTCCAGAGAATGAGAGAATTGTTAAGAGTGAGATTTCGCTCTGAGTATCTAGGGCAGTTAAGACAGCAGTCTACCAGAAATTGCAAAAATAAACCTCTATCTGTAGGAGAATTGTCTTGCTGGAGGAACAAAATAAAAACTGTGCATATTGGAATTTAGCACGCGTTATTCGGGTGATCCCTGGTAGAGATGGCAACATAAGAGTTGCTCTTGTAAAAAGTAATAAGAGTTCTTGAGACCAATACAGAGATTGTTTAGATTGGAACTGGATAATATAATAGATAATACTCAAAATGATCAAGTTCCTTTCACCACAGTAGTGGTAGAGTTGTAAAATCACGAATAATGTAATTCATGTCTTTGAGTTATTATGATTTATTTTGTTGTTCTATTATTGTTGTATTGTTCCTCAGCATTAATTTTGTTTTCAAGTAATATGATTTAAGTATTAAGCAATTTTCTTTGTTATTAACCCTTGTATATAACATTTATATTGATGTAATTTTATGTTTTGAGTGTGTAGCCATCACTCAAAAGGGGGAGATGGGAGAATTGTGGCGACACACTGTTTTCTGTGGCAACCCTAAAGAATCCGTCTGTCACGAGGATCATATGCCCAGATGTCTACGTCTACGTCTGCTTTTCTGTTTGATAGTTAGTTGCATTTAAGATTTTGATCATGCTGTGAAAAATAAATGTTGGTTTTTAAAAAGTGTCGGCTCAGATTTTCGAACCTATAATTTACTTGTTAAGCAACAGTCCCATTTTGTGTCAAAATACCTATGCTAGAGGAATGCTATGTATCCTAAATCATGCTTTCAAGACAAGAAAAACGCAATTTGAATTTTGTCAATCAGCTCAGTAGAATGGGAGATCTAGAACTGTCCCCCCTTTTTTTGAGCAGTGTACTTTTCTTTCCCTTTTTTTGTCAAATTTTAATTTATGGGGCATAGCATTCTCAAACTTAAGTTAGATTATTTTTAATTTATTGCATTTTCTATACCTGGTTATTAGTTACTTCTTTGGCAAAACTAACATGGATGCAAATGAAATCCCCAATATCTAATTTGAAGGAGGCACTGAAAATGTTTTTTTAACTTCTTCATCTTCTTCGACAATTCAACACTATATTGTGTAAACATCATCCAAGGGCAAATTAAATGTGTTCAGTATTTAGGAATGAATATTTCAATAGACATTCTTATTTTGATGGGAACGAAAGCGAAATATGCACAGTGTTGTAGATGTATCAAAATGTTAATGCTTTTTGTTAACAAAATCAGTTAGTGTCATGCTAGAAATTTTTTTCATTGTTCCAGTTGCTCTTCTGTTGACAGTATTATTAAAATAAGAAGATGAATTTGAAAGTAGTATCAAAATCATATAATGTTTCAATATCTGGCCTTGTTCAAGCTGCAAGTTAAAAAGATAATTGCCGAGGGGTGGGAGAAGGGTTTTCTTTAAAATCGATAAAAAAATAAGTATCAAAGTTCCCTTTATTTATGTGTGTAATTTATAACTGATATTTTAATTTCTTTAGGTAAAATTCATTGTAAAAATGCAGGCACCACAAGTAACTCCTGCTCAGCGCTTCTTCCACACTCCAAAATTTCAGCCTCCAACTTTTCAGAAGCCTAATCACTTAGTATTCACAGCTCATCGGCAACATTTACAGCCAACTCAAGCTATAGAATTTGATGGAAAACGTCTTCGAAAAGCAGTTACTCGGAAAACAGTTGATTATAACTCATCTGTGATCAAATACCTAGAAGTATGGGCTTCTTTCCCTTTTTGTTATATTATTATAAGTTTTTACTGAATGAATATATACATGTTTTCATCCATTAATATGTAATTGATTAAAATTGTAGACTAATGGTAATTCATATGTTTAAGTTTTTAGTCAATGAAGCTGTATGTATGTATGTTTTTTTTTGTGTGTGGGGGGGGAGGGGTTGGGATCTTCTCTATACATTATGCAGATGAAGGCTAATTTCTTAAGAAACTTATCAACACAGTTTTCTTTTAATGAAAGAGAGTCTGTGAGCATTTTGTCAGTTAAACTAATCATCATCATACAGTATTTGTTAGTAGTGATTTCATTGTTGCTAAAGTAAAATTATTTCAAGTTATCACATAATACAAGTAAAATATAACCTTAGCTGTGTACGTACGTGGTAATGGTGGAAGATTGGCTAACGTTGGTGGTAATTTGATGCAAATGTTTTTTCTTTATTTCAGATGGAAAATGCTTGGTCATTGTTTCTAAAATGTTTTCAAAGTTTTTTTTTTTTTTTTTCTTTTCTTTCTTTTTTTAAAAAAAATTCTGAGCTACAATTTTTGTTGCATGTTGCCTCATGAACTCTGCTAAGTATGATTTCAAATGGGTCTTGCTGTACCTGTATGTTTCTTATTCTGCCATTTTTGAAGAACACCATATCCATTTAATATTTTGCATATGAACTATGGAATGTGAATCCACAAAACTGAATTTATGGTTCGCTTTGGAAAGCTCAAGAATGACATTTTGGAATTTTTCTGTTTTAAAAGTGGTCTGAATGTTGGAATAAATCGTAGTTCCTTTTTTGATATTTTCTTTGACTGCATTGTGGCTTTTCAGTCAAGCACTGTAAAGAGAAAGCATTCTTTAATTTCCTAGCAAATATCGGCGAAAATCCATTGAGGCAGTAAGACATGGCTACCATTTTTTCTTTTTATGGTTGCAATAACGATAATTTGTTTTGTCACTCCAAAGTTGCGTACTGAAACTATTGCCATTTTTTGCCAAATTTTGCCCTTTTTCTATATTAATATGCAAATACTGAAACATTAATTGTGCTAATAAATTTTACAGTCAAAAAGCATTTTTGACACCCTATAACTTTTCTGTTTTTTTTTTTTTTTTTTTTTTTTTTTTTTTTTTTTTTTTTTGTAAATTTTTGAGTGCAACACTAATATTAATATTGACTCCTTTGATTATGTAAACATTCATTCATATGGATTTTCTAAATAATTATTATTTCATAATATGACTTTTCATACATAAATCAGTTTTAATTATATATTAAATATCCTTATACTTGTTTTTGATATGAATAGTATTATTTCTATAATTAATTCAAATGAAAAATTTTAAAATACTTAGTATTCTTGTTGGTTAATTGGAAATATAAAACTTCATGGAGGCTCATTTACGGTGGCTGTTTCACTATGGTGCTTTATAGTCTAATTGTTGAAGTTCTTACTGAGGAATTTAACTATCTCTTTCAGACTCGTGTATGGCAGCGAGACTATAGGGATAGAAGAGCTATGCAACCTGATACTGCTTATTACACAGAGGTAATTATGCATTTTTAGATTTACATCACCAAATTATTATTTTGGATATAATTCCACACTCAGTATTTTCCATGTTAATACAGTCAAAAGTCGTTAATCCGGAATCGTCGGGACTTTTTTGTTTGTGTAATTTTATTAACTTGTTTTGCTAATGGATTTTTATGACACTTCCCTCCGGTTGCTATTTAATTGGTTATATGAGTTGCATTTAGATTTTGAATTTAATTTGTTAAACTTGATGCTTTGTAAGTAAATTTTTAATATTTTTTTATCACTGCTCTCCGTGACAACTAGTTTTGAATGGATTATTTGTATGGCACTTAACTTGGTACTATTTTGAAATGCTGTTTGTTTTGTTTTGAAAAAAAAATTTGGGGGGCTCAAATTTTTTTTTTCCCTGGTGGGGGAATATGTTATGTAGTGAATTTAAATTTATTAATACAGTCATAAGTCGTTAATCCGGACTCGTCGGGACTTCGGCGATTCCGGATTATCGATTTTTCCGGATTATAGATCATCAGTTTAAATCTCGTAAGATGGCATGCAGAAATTCTAAAATTAAAAATATGAAACCGTAATTTATGAAATAAAGAACAATTATGATCTAAAGGGTATAAAAATTTGCAAAAAGAAAAAAGCTTAATATTTATTTGTTTACTTTATTAAACATTTCTTTTAATGTAAGTTGTTTAAGTTTTGTTTCTTTTCATGTGATAATACTTTCTCTTTAATTCTATTAAACAGACATAATTTCTTGTTCAGTTACAAAGTTCCACTGTTCAAGTCCTATAATTGCTGCGTCGAGAACACCGACTAATTTGTCAATCGAAATTTTTTCGTTTTCACTAACCTCTGTCACTTTTCTTCGCTATCGGAAGCGAATTATAATGACAAGGAACTTGTTTTAAATCATATCAAAGACGGAGCACATCGAGATGAAATACTAATTTGGTAAGGAATTATAAGCCAAATAAAAACATCTGCCCTGAAGATAAGGATAGTGCTGACAAATCAACTTCCAATTCATTACGCGCCCGCCACTGCGCGGCATTCCCCCCGCCGAGCAGCGTGAAATTGATAAACAGATTTCGGATTTCAAAACATACTTTCACTTTAGATCCTTTACATATTAACAAATATATATCGGAAATTCTATTTGATATAATCGAAAGTTTAAGCTTACTTTTATAAAATTGCTCTTACAGTCTGCAAAAAATAATAAGCCGGATCCAATTCGAAAATTAAGGAACAACGCAATCATCAACATTAACTGAGTAGATAATTAGATAATTTTAGCTTATACGTCCATTATACATAAAACGTGCACGCGAAAACGTATTCTGCACTTGTGCACACTCTTATGCGCAGTCATAAAACGTCTTACGCGCACGCGTAAACGCCTATGCGCATGTGTCAATGCGGTGCATGCGCCGAAAGTTTTTAGTTTTGAGGTCCGGATTATAGATCATTCCGAATTATGGGTGTCCGAATTAACGACTTTTGACTGTATATATATTTCATGTTTTAAAGGTTCATTCCAAATAGTTCATTGGTTCATTCCAAATAGAATTCACTCAATTTTTTATGACTTAAATATAAAATTTTTATTTTTAAATAAATTTATAAATTTTTTGAAAAAAAATTTGAATTATAATCTATAAAAATTTTACCATCATTTTAAAGTAGGCGTATTTCTAAGCATACCTGCAAAAAGTTGCAGTTTTTCATTCAAAATTTTCGAAGATATATGTGAATTCATATATTGGCCCATTTTGAAATTTGGCATATTTTGTTGAATGCGATAAAACATCAAATGTGATTTAGACACTTTGCTAAAATTATTTGGAAGTAGAAACGAAGTGAATTTTTTCTGCTCATGCACAATGTAAAAAGGTAGGAACAAGGTGTCTTTTTTTCTGCTCCGGCATAATCGAAGGGAAAGGAAAATTGTTTGCCACATGTTAAGAAGTTCGCCAAGTGAATTATTCTTGGCGCAAACTGAAAAAATTATGCCAAGATAAATTTTCGAATTTCTCTGTAAATTTCGCACTAAATTTCACAAAATTTAATATCTAGGTATAGTTTGAGTCGTGGAATCGAAATATGGAAAAAAATTGGTTAAGTCTGATTTTTACAAGGTTAAGTCCGTTTTTTGTGTCAAACTACCTATGTTAGAACAATGCTATATATAAATCTTATATATATATACTCATATCATATATAACTCATGCTTTCGAGACATGATGTTAAATAGAAAGTAAATTATCGGTGTTTTAATACCTTATTCCTTTATAGCTTAAACTTAACTGATAACTTTGCTGACTGTTGTGCCGGACAAACTAACTAAAATCAAATAACAAATAATTCACATTCAAAATCTAATTCATAATATCCATATATCATACCGACATTCTTATAAACATTAAAACAAATCTATCAATCAATCAATTAATCAATCGTATAGTGGTATTGTACAATTTAACTTTTAGGTTTGCGTTGTGAGTAACCTATGCAAAAGGAAATAATCAATAACCCCAAATTCAATTAAACTCCATGTTTCTTAAAAGCCTTCCGGCTCAAACAAATGGAGGGACATGACAGACTACAGTAAAATATACTCTACAAAAATACAAAAAAGCAATTAAATTTTAAACACACATTTATTAAATTCTTGACTATTTTAATTAAATAATGGATAACTGATTAGTAATCCTACCACATATTTTTCTAAGCCAAAATAACACATAATACTACACCAAATTACAGCTTTACATTAATTAAGATTAACATTATTTTTTTTTTTTCAAATTAAATAGGTTGTAACAAAAATTTAATCTCCTAAAACTGGCATTCACTTGAAATTATAAATAACTTCTCAATTTTTCTAACTGTACTATTTCAATTTATATAAGTAATAACAATATACAGGTAGATAAATCATTATTAACTATTCTGCATTTCGGGAAATACTAAGAAAGAGAGAGAGAGAAAATATACTTAAAAATTTCACTCACAGATTTAAAACAGTTTTCTCCTGATTAGCCAGGATCCTTAGTGTCCAATCCACATGGAAATGAGCCAAGGCAATTTTTCTTTCTGTGACAACCCTTTCTGAAGCGTCTAAAAATCATTAGGGATCAAGAGTGGAAATTACAGTCTAATAATTCTTCAAACAGCCAGGAATCGCTTTATCTGTCCATTAGGTGGGAACCAATAGTCCAATTTAGAAGGATCTTTTATTTGTCCATTAGGTGGGAACCAATAGTCCAATTCAGAAGGATCTTTATCTGTCCATTAGGTGGAAACCAATAGTCCAATTTAGAAGGCTCTTTATTTCAATTGAATAACAGGTAGCTGAATATACTCCAGTTTTTAGCACAATCACGTGCATCATCGAAGCAGCAAATCAACATTTTATGCTGAATATTTCGAAAAAAAAAAACTCTTGGAGATAAACCGGCGATTCAGGTGAAGAGAAAAAATCTGTGCTAAATTTTCTTGGTAGATTTTTCTCTATACATCTCAGTCAGCTCTCAGTAAAAATGCTCTTTGCAGCTCGCACACTTTTCTCCATACATCACGCAGGAAAATGTTCCTTGCGTCTCGCACAAACCTTTTAAACATCCCGCAGAAAAAGAATTCTCTAGATGCAACCCAAGTCCTCTTGCCTCGGCAACCGGCCGCACAGCAAAGCCGGCAGCAGGGCAAAACGCCCCTCGTTCGCTTTTATTTTTCTTTCACATTGCGGCTGCCTCAAAATTCACTCAAATCAGACTCCAGCTAACAACCATCACCGCAGCCCTCTTGTACATGTAGTCGTTCGCTCCAGCAAAGGGGGGAGCCCCGCAAAACTTTCTTGTTTCTCCTTTTCCTTTTCGCTCCAAAAATCTGAATCAGAATGATCTCTAGCCTGGTGCAAGCACCCAGGAATCTCGGTTTCTCCGCCTCTGTGAGTTCATGCACTTTCAAAAAAAAAAATATAAAATAAATCTTACCAATCCCGGAATTTTAAGTTATCTAAATTGAGAAAAAGACACACACCCATGACGAAATCAACACCAGAGAAAATCTGACAATGCAATCCGAAAAACATCTGCACACATATCGTGAGAAAAAGTAGACCCCCCCAACTAACAAGCGGAAAATAAGCTCCACGAGAATCCAATTACCCAAGGTTAGTTTAACCACCCACTGTCTCGAAGTAAGAAAACTGCAACCTTAACAAAGCGACAGGAAAGCGATTTCTGTTTCACATGCCAAGAGTTAAAAGGGCGACACACGACTCCCAACTGCCTCCATTGTTGGAAAAGGCCATAAACCAGATGGCTCCCGCAACCGTTTCCCACCTTAGTTACAATTCCTACTCAAGAACAAGTTAAACAACACCTTAAGAGCCTAAGAATACTTTTTTCCAGATTAAAATACACATGAATACAAATAAAAATATTGGAATAATAATAACTTAAAACACATACAGTCAAAAGTCGTTAATTCGGACACCCATAATTCGGAATGATCTATAATCCGGACATCAAAACTAAAAACTTTCTGCGCATGCGCCGCGTTGACACATGCTCATAGGCGTTTACGCGTGCGCGTAAGACCTTTTACGACTGCGCATATCAGTGTGCGCAAGTGCAGAATACGTTTTCGCATGCGCGTGTTACGAAGCGAATAACGATATCTAATGCGTAGTTCGAAAGGCTAGTGATAACTTGACGATTCTTGTTCCAACGCTAATTTTGTTTCGACGAATATGCATCAGTGGTAAATTTGATCTTGATTTGGATACAAAAAATTCATGACGATATCTTTCATTTATATTTAATGAAAGCACCAAAATATATCACAGCAATACACATACATCGCAATGGCGAACCACAGTTACATAATGTAGAAAAAAAAACAGAATTCCTTTGGCGCAACAGCGCCCTCTATCCTATGAAAAGTTCCTAACACACCCCACCTGTGCTCTTTTAAGAGCACATTAAATTACATAT